CGTTACGTCCCTGCGTGCTGACGTCACGTCCCTGCGTGCTGACGTCCAGTCCGTTTAGACGTTTTGGCGCCAGTGGCTACCTGGCTGGGGACGGGATGCTAACAAAACAAAGTTGTTGAATTAAATTGTAAGTAGCTGATGTAGTGTTTGTTTGTTTGTTTTTATGGGTAACGTTTGTTGATTAGACAACACACGAAACTCACTGCTGTCGACACAACTGATGTGAGCTGTGGTAGTTAACTAACAGTCATACTTTATAGCTGTTAGTCGGCTAACCTGCTAGTGTACTGTTTACTTTGTGTTTAATTGTGAAAACACTGACAACTGTTTAATGTTGTTAGAAATAAGTATTGGAGAAGGTTTCACGTAACATATTGGAGGTTAAGTTAGCTAATTTAGATATTGTTGGGGTTTTGGTTGTCATCGCTGTTACCTGTTATTGATTACTTAACGTTAATTACTTATTTACTGTGTTTGTTTCTTAAGCAGGGATGTCCTGATCGATTTCTTGCCCACATTATACAGCTGCATTAGTCCACACTTAGTCTAAAAGCTTACGTTTAAATTAGAAAAGCAAATTAAAAAGGTTTCACAGCTCATCTGCTTTGCATTTAGAAAGTATAACCTACATTGCAGCTTGTATACTTTGTGTCATATCTATATATCTATATATATATGTGACATTTCTGGATTAAATCTAGTCCAGCCTAATTAATAACTCTGCAGCCAATCTTACCTTGATGAAGGTTATGATGTCCAGATTTTGTTGAAGTAGTTTTAGAGGTATTGATTCAGCTTTAGACATTTTGGAGGCTGCTGTTTAATTGTGTTTCTTTATTCTGAGTGGTGTTTTCCAGCCTCACTGATGAGTGGTGGACAATATATTGGAAACACATCTCAGTATAATGTAATACAATTCCAAAACTTCCCAAAAATTGCAATAAAACAGTTTCTCTTTAAAATAATTCGGGCAAAAACTGAACATTGTGACGTTATAGAAGAAAATGCTCTCACTTATTAACTTTAAGTGCTGCTATTTCTTTTGTATGTCACTCTCTCACAATCAGTGTGTTAGGAAAGAGTTATTGTGTTTTAATATAGTGTAATATCTATACGCACACTCATTCTTTTTGTATTGGTCTTCACCTAATCCTCCATAATCCACATTGCTGGTGTGTGACTGTCTAGTACAGTAACAGGGGGGGTCACACACACGAGATGTTAGACGGTGGTCAGTTTGTGGAGGCCCTGGGCCGTCTAGGTTTTCCCGGTGCATCATCGCTGAAGGCCTCGGAGTTTGACTGGCTGTTTGACTGCGCCCCGGAGAACCTCCACTTCTTGCGCTTCGTCTGTCGGACCCTCAACCGGAGCAATGTTCTCACCACGGAGGAGGCACGTGCGTTTCAAGAGCTACGGAGGTCCGGCAAACCGCTCCTGGACGAAGCAGCCTTGGGCGAGGTCCTAAAAACCATCGGACCTTCCGACGGGAGCAATGCAAACGTGTTAGGACCGTCTTCTTCATCTTCGACCTCGGTGTTTGCAGCAGAGGGCGATGTGGCCATAGAGGACCTGGAGGCAGAGCTCCAGGCGCTGCGTAAAGAGAAAGAGCTGAAGCAAAAGCGCTATAACAGGTTGCAGCTCGTGGCCACCTCGCGTGCGGACGTCGACCTGCGACTCACCGCGGAGCTGCAGAGTGCTGCGTGCAAGCTGAAGGAGGCCAGTGCTTCCATTGGAGCCGAGAATGCCGACACCAACGCCGTATTACAAAACCTAACGGATGAGGTGAGCAGTCTGGCTTCGTATCTCCCAGTTCAGCCAGAAGAAAAACCTGCGGCCCCCTCAAACCCTTCCATCTCCAGGAGCCCCACCGTCCTCCTGTCTCAGCTGTCTTTGGGTCCCTACCTGCATCAAGAGGAGCTCAACACTAAAACACTGACTGCCTTCACTCAGAAGCATTTCTTCCAGGGCATCTCTGATATTGTTGAGACTTCTTGCTCTGAGCGCTTCCAGCTCCTCGACCTGAGTTCTTGTGGAGACGGAGAGGAGGAAGAGAAGGGGAGAGGCAGGGAGGAGCGAGTGGTGGAGCGCAGGAGGACAGAGATGGCTAGACTTCAGTGGTCTCACATTGTGGCCCAGCACCAGCTGATGCAGGCCACGGCAGACGAGAAGAGTTTCCTGGCCGGCCTGGACTGGCTCTCCGAGGAGTCCTCTCATACCAAGGTGAAGCAGACATATATGTTATGTTACGTATTACATTGGCTCTTTAAAGCGGTCTCACTGTTCTCTCCGTGTGTTCAGTTATTACGATTATGGCATCCTTCCTCAAACTCTCCCTCACATCTATCTCTTCGCACTACCAGAGCATTTCCACCTCCTCCTCGCTGCATGTCCGCGAGGTCGTGTCCAGGAAGGAGCTGCAGGCAGTGGAGGCTGAGCTGGAGGCTTTGCTCCGTGGACCAGTACCTGCTGCTCTTAGAGAGTCAGCCAGGCTGCTTAATGTGCCAGTGGTGAGGGGAGACCTCGCTCTGCAACTGGCCCGGCAGGACTACTACACCTCCAGACAGGATCAGGTTAGTTAATGAGATAAGACATTTGTTGCTCCAAAACATTTCAATGAGATACATGGTGCCTAATAATAACATAAACATAATAATTGTATTCTTTTGTCCTTTTGTTTAAGAGTGACCACTTACTGAATAGATATAAGTAGAGCTGCTCGATTATGGAAAAAAATCATAATCACGATTATTTGGGTCAAAATTGAAATCACGATTATTCAGAAAAGTGCTGCATTTATTGGACATTTGTCAAAAACACTTTGCAAGGAAGTCCTCAGTTACACTTTCCTTTCCCCGTAAACATTTGTAAGTCTCCTCGTTACCTGAAAACAACGTAAGACTGCAGCGAGTGTCGTGACCACCAGCGACAGTATAAATAGTTACGGTGCTCCCGTGACTTCACATTGTTGCGCGACAGGTCGGGAACGGCGAGTATACCGAGCGCATGACTCATCAGAAAATAAAAAAAAATCGTTTCCCCCCGATTTTATTAGTTTTGAGATCGTTTGGCCCCAAAATCGTAATCATGATCAAATTTCGATTAATTGAGCCGCCTTAGATATAAGAATGAATCACAGATGTAAGTCACGATGTTGACCATCAGCTATATAATCTGAATCAGGCTTAATACATGGAATCACCACCTACGTGTCCCTATAAGACAGTGGAAATAAGAATCAACAGCTAAAGTAAAATTAAATGTACATTTTTCCCCCAAGGTACGAGACTACCTACTCCGCCAGAAGGCGTCCTTTGACCTGCTGCACCTTGCTCAGGAGATGGAGTTGAGGAGGTGGAGGACGTGCCTTAAGCAGCTGGGAGAAATAAACAGCACACTGGTCAGGGAAAGTGAAGCAGCAAGCCTCAGAATTGAGTCCCTGGCGCATCCTGACCTTGCTGTCAACCCCAGGCCCAACCCTATCATCAGCTGCAAGGATGCAGCCTTCAGCAGGTAAGAAGACTCTGTGTGTACCACAAACCTGTTTCTGGAGCTGAAATTGTGCAGAGCTATTTCTAAAAATGACTTTTCAGAAGCACGTGTGTTGTCACTTTGGAATTTAATTCAGCGTTGGATGCAACTCTTTCCTCAGACTGCTCCAGATCCTTGACCACGATTCAGACCACGGCCGATCAGAGCCTTTTCGGACATATGAAGCACTGGACCAGGCTGCCCGTGACCTCGCAGGAAACCTCCAGGTGACCCGAGACGCTCTAGCTGGTGCTGGCCGTGAGCAACACTACACAGCTGCTCGTCTGTATGGCGACTGTGAGGCGCTCCACAGGGCGATGTACACAGAGCTCCAGCAGCTGGTCTTAGGGCCACAGGTACGTCCAACGGCCATCACTGACCAGGAGCTGCTCTGTCCCAATGCACAGGTGGGTTTGTTTCCTTTTTATTTTAAGCACAGTCATCTTGGTAAACCGTACAGTGTGCATTTCAGAAGCAATGCTTAACGTGAGTCAGCTGATTTTTAACATACACGTCACTATTGGTGAGGGAAGCTGGTAGCACAGTATTTGTCTTTCGCACATTTTTCACATGTATCACGATGTCAAGACACACACGTTGGGTATAAATCACTGCATGATAACTGGCTCAAGCGTAACACAACACAAGTTTTAGTGTCGGGAACAGTGTTTTGTGTCTTTGTCTGCTTGCTTGAAAACATTCATATTTTCCTCCTCAGCATCTCAAGGGTTTTGAGTGAATAGATTTCAATTTGCACACACAGATTATGTTTTTTAATTAGAGCTGTCACAAGTAGTTAATTATGGTTATTGAAAGAAAATGAAATGGCAACTGTTTGGATAATTGATCAATCTTTTAATCATTGAGTAAAATGCCACTTGCTGGTTCCAGCTTCTCAAAACGGAGAATGCTGCCTTTATTATCGTATCATAGTAAATAGTGTTGGGTCGACAAAACAAGCAGTTTGTAGATGTCACTAACTGTGATGAGAAATGTCATAAATTAAACTATTAGTCAGTGGTTGCAGTCGATGAAGAAACGTGTCAACAGTGTCACTTTTCTAAACCAGTACATGGAACGATACACAGCATATAATGGTGCTAAATATGCTGTCATGTTCACATCTTTTTACCAGTGTGCAGTAAAATGAGAACACCGTGCTTACACTTGGATCGCTCCAGGGATTAGCCGATCAAATTAGATTTTTAAAACACGTTTTATAAAACATTTCTAAATTACAGTTATTTGAGATGTCAACAAATATGTGCTAGCGTTAATTATGTTGATAAATTATCTTATTTCCATAACTAGGTTCATATGTGTGCTAATTTGGCCTTAGTGTTTAGTTTTTTTGCTCATCCTCATCTCTCTTTTGTCTCTACAGGAGCTGACGTTGAAGCTGGTGGAAGCTGAGTCTCAGCTGCAGAGTTTGCAGCACGTAATGCAAGAAATCATGGGGGAGGTTAAAGCCAAGCGTTCTCAGCTGGAGCGCAATGCCCTTCTCAGGCGGGAGAGGGAATTATACATCTACTTCCACTTGGATGCTCGACTACTGCAGAAAGTTGTGGAAGATCTGGAAGACAAAATGGCTGCGAAGAAAGGGCAGCAGTGAAACCTGCCAGAATCAATGAGGGGCGTTAATATCCAGCTCAACCTCAACATGCAGTTTCTTTGCCAAGGGAGTCGACCTGTGTTATATAGTTTGAAGAGATCTGATCAGTACAGGAGGTTTACTAAGTACAGAATCATGGATCTCCACTTGGTTTGTGCAGGAGATGGAGATCAGTCCCTTTAGTCTTCATTGGTTCATCTTTGGGATAGCACTCAACTTGGGATAAAGTTTGGTTGTACAAGAGCAGTAATGCTGATATGATTGGGATTCGTTTGAGAATGTTAACAATTTTTACACGACCTATTACTATACATGAAGAATTGTTAGAATTTACTGTATTGTTCTGTCTTGTGATGTCCTAAAATGTCCTTGTTTAAATAAAGTAAAATATTATCTTTATAGAGTTTTAGTTGTGAAGGTTTTTTTTTTTAATTTAAGGTTATTGAAGTGTATTTCTGCAGGGTTAGCAGCATACTTGTTACAGTCCGCTCTGCAAAAAACCCTTGACACATTATTGGATGGGTTTCTGAGATGTTTAAACCGGATCAATGTGTAAATGACCTAACTCTCCCCTTTGTCCTGTTTAGGCCAATGACAGTTGAAGAATAAAGATCCTCAGATAGAAAGAAAGAGTAGCAGGCTCTCTGACAGACAGGAGATGGAGCAGTCTAGCAGCAGGTTGTACTCAGGACCTCTGTCCCAGGAGGCCCAGAAAATCCTGGCTGTTTTGAGGGCCCAGAATCCACTTTCAAGCAGGCGCAACACCAACTACTACAATCACAGGCAAAGTTAGTCAGGGCAAAAGCACAGAAAGTCTTACTTAAGTTTGTCAAGTGAACTGGTTTCTTGTAGTTTGCTTTGTTGATGTTTATAACATTTCTGCTTCTAAACTGCTGAACAGGCTGTCATCAGAAATGTAAGCCCTTTTGACAATTATACAAAATATTCAGACAATATTTAGACATAAAGACAAATATTTTCTACTCAATATGTTTGTTTGGCATTGTAGTATTGTTGACATTTGGGATGATATTATAATATAATATTGGTAGAAAGTGTCGAAGGTTGCTCTTGGATACTGTATGTTATTTTTAGCCTTTTGTAGGAGTTCAGTAATTTGACATGCCTACTTGATGAATCACAATGACATACAGCACTGCTTCACATAACCCACATTTGATTTAATTATCATTATAGCCTGGTTTCTACACATTGAATCTTGTGTATTAGAACATTTGCCCATTCACCAGTCTAAAACAAGAAGACTAGATTCAATTAGGCCTTGTATTAGAGTTGATATATTTAGTTTCTTTGTTGTTCCCAGAGAGTTTACGGTTTTCTCCTTTGTTGTGTATGTGGTAGTGGAGAGGTATTACGGCAGCCAGAGGGAGTCTTTGGCTCAGAGCAGCTGGAGCATGAGTCAGGAGGAGAGCAGAAACAGAAACACAGACCGGTAAGACAGATTAAGTAGAGGCTGCGCACAGATATGAAAACATGCACTTATGTTTAGTTGGAGTATCATTTCATTAATATCAGTCACATTATTTAAATTAGATTGGTGCAGAAACTTACACAGTAACAGCAATCACCAGCAGTTTAATACAGTATATTAGTTAATGTAAAAAGTAAAGTTAATATTTACAACTTAAGTCAATGAAGCAAGATTTTATATTCAAGTGCAGTAATATATTTTAAACCTTAATGTACTCGATGTAAAACAGAAAAAGTAAAAGAAATCAACTTGCCAATGTTCTGGTTCACGCCATCGTCCAGGCCTCAGGTGTCCTCCTTTTCCACCTCCGGCCATGACTCCTCCAACGAGCGGCAGAGCTGTGAGACCTCGTCCTGCTATCAGTCCTTGCAGACGCCAAGCTGCTCCCTGTCATCACAGGCCTCCTCCTGCTGGGATCCCTCACTCCAAAGGCAGTCTGCTCAGACAGAAGCCTATTATCAGCGCTCACAGATTTATTCCCAAAGGAAGTGCTCCAAACCCCCTTCTTACCACTCCAACCAGGCTCCATTTTTGACTCAGCATGAGGTGACTGAGAAGACAGACGTATCTTTCTCCCATAGAGACAGATACACCTTGTCTACCCAATCACCGGAGAGACTTTTTGAACATCAAGCAACACCATGGAGAAAGTAAGTAGCATTGGGAAGAATGGGGATTGTGCTTTATGGTTATTATCATAGTTAAATGTCTTAATATATGTATACTTATAACATTCTTAAAAAAGTATTTTGTGTGTTCAGAGATTTCCACGGTTTTTAGAAAACCTTTAGCTGCTTTGGCATTTTCCCTTTTAAGATAGTTGTATAACTTTGGTTAACACAAAGGAAAGCAGTCAGAAGTTTAGGATGTATTTATGTATTTCTGTGGCTGGTTTTGTGAGTGAAAAGCGTTCGTAATGTATTTAGCACAGTCTGTCTCTTCACTCTCATAGCTCCAGTGAAGAAATCAGGCCGTCTTTCATCCACACTCTTTCTCCAGACGACGGGGTTTTTGATGAGGTATTGTTCCCCACAATGGAACACCCTAATACCCATGAAGAGGAGCCTTCTTTGGCTTTCCACCAAGTTTCATCCTGCCCTAAAATAAGTGAAGAGACAGATGAGAACACACCAGGTGCACAGAAAGAAAAGAAAGTTACAGAGAGATGGAACATCCCCAGAAATGAACTTGAAGACACCGTGTGGATAGACAGTCAGACAAAGTGGAAACTTCCTCCATCTAATCCCACTGAAGAGGCAATTAGTGGAGGAGAAGATAGAGGCACATTGTGTCCGCAACCAGAGTCGGAAACTTTAAAAGCTGGAAGAATTAATCTCCTTCCCAGTGGCTGTGTAAAAGCACAGGAGACCTGCTGTGATGCATGTCCACTCAATTCAATAAGAAATCTAGTTGTGGAGGAAGGGGTAGATCTGATAGTGGATTCAGAACGTATGACTGAGGCAGATACAGGACAAATGTCAAACACAGAGCATGAAATGCAGGATGGAGTAAATGGAGTTATGTGGAAAGAGAGAGGACACGTGGATTCAGCCCTGCTAAATGAGACGAGCTCAATCAGAGACATGGGAGGTATTCAGCTCTTGGGAACCAACAGTAGTTTGGAGAAGAATTTGAACCTGTTATTTACAACAAATATGGACAAAATCTTTGACTGCAATAATGAAGGAGAAAAACTTGGGGAGAGAGGAAAGAATGACTTTGAGTGTAGAGTTAATACACCGGAAAGCAAGGAAGCTGAGCATTCACCTGGCAGTGAGAGAAAAGAGATGTCAGTGGGATGTCATGCTGGTAGTCCAATAAAGATCTCATTATCTTTGGAAAGGAGAGACAACAGGGTGAGCCTCTGCCAAGCCAAAAACCCTCAGGACAGGAAGCACCACACAGAAAACTCACTGGTGCAGTGTGAGACCAAATTAGTCCAGGGTGACAACACTGCCAATAACCTGAAGAGAACCACAGACGAGAGAATAGATGTGACGGAGGTCAGATTACAAGTGGAACCAGAGAGCGGGACAAAGGCAGGCACTGGCACAAGCACTGAAGATAACATGGAGACAGAATTAAACCTTTGTTCTGACATCCAAAGAGAGAAAACAAGTGAGACGGGTGATAGAGAAGTCAGTGAGTTACCGGAAAGAGAAACTGAGTCAGGAGAGAGGGGGAGAGACAGTGATGAGTCAGTGATGCCACCTGTGCACAGTGATGAGTGTACATCTACAGGTAAGTACATGATGGGCCTCATTTGCAAGAAATCTGTGTCATATTGTCTTTGATTTCTTTTAGGAGACTATCTTAAACTTGTACGTGTAGTATTTAGTATTAATTCAAGGCAACAGACAACAGACAACAGTTTATGTGTGAAACTAGTTTTAAAATAATACAGAAAGTTTATATAAATCATTGTAGTGTTAAGATTAGGTCATCATTAATCTCAGTTTTGAACGTGGTGGCGACTGCTGATGAGTCTTGCGCAAATGTGACTCAACTGTCATCAAATATGCAGTTTGCTTTATTTACCACTAGAGTGTGCTGGAACACTTTTCTATATTCGCACTTTGGTACATAACTATGAATTTTTATTTATTATTTATTTAGTATTTAGTATTGGAGGAGTTTTAGATTCTGAATATGTAACCAGAAAACATACTGCTTTAGTCAAGTGTGTGCAATTCTTACAGGAAGTGATACAGTGAAATTAAAATAGTGGGGACTGTTCCAGGGTGACAGTTACTAGTTTAGGAAGACTCGGGGATATGAAAGTATTTCAAGGGGTGTCAAACTCTTGGCGGTAGCTTCCAGCCATCTTTCTTTCATCGGAGCGGTGGCGATGACGGAGCAGTGCTGAGGCGACTCAGCACTGACAAGGGATGTTGTGTGCCTGCTCACATTACAGCCGCAGGAAGGGAGCTTGAGTCTCAGCTGATGAGACAATGCTGAGTCAACTCACACACACGCATACGCATCTACAAAAAACACACTCAACAACACACAAGCAAACAAGTCGCAACTTGTTTTGTAACGAAATGTCAGCTTGATCTTAGCCGGGGACTCTAGCGTTGGCTGACCTTGTCTTGTCACACTCTGCTGACGTCCCACACACGCACCGTACATGCTTACTCAAACACACGCTCGCTGAATACCGGGTTCATTGATTTAAGGATGTGTCCGAAATGTGATGACCTGATAGAAATGCTCTTACCGTCTCCCCTCTAGAGGACACAGGTAGAGAGAGTGGTTCCAAGCCAACATTGTCCCAGGAGTGCAGGGCAAAAAGGTCAGGGTTCAGACCTCCCTGTCTCCATGGGAACCACCAGCACCATGCCAACGCACAAGTGAGTCTCTATTGAAGTCTGTACAAGCTGAACAATACTGTGTTACATGACAGCTAGACCTCACTAGACAGTTTTAGAACTTTTATGCCTCATTTACAGAACATAATATGCAGATATCGAACATAAAGTCAGCCAGATTCGAGGACTTTCTCCACGTTGCTTATACACTATAATTAGGAGACAAGGTATGCCTCTTGCTGAGATGTGTTCTCTTTTTGTACGGAAATACTGATGTGTCTTTATTTTTCTCTGTTATTGTCTGTCTCCCACTCGACCTCTGTAATCCCTGCAGGCAAAGGCAACAGTGTGTACAGCAGCAACACACCAAAAAGTGAGAAATTTAAATGGCTGCTTTAAAAAGGATAAGCCTGTTTTTTCCCTGATGCACATAGAAATCACTCTGGCTTGTGTGGAACGGGGTGCCGTCGGCAGTATTGCAGCACGCTGACAAGTGATAGCTCCCCAGTGTGTCGTAAAGTTAAAAAAAAAAAAGTCCTGACACCATACATATTGCAGAAAAAGAAGAGAGAGCAGTAAAGAGAAAGAACTATGAA